GGGAAAGAAAAATTCTTAGGAAAATCTATGGTGCCATACAGGATGAAACAGGGTGGAGGACATGCACTAACCATGAGATATATCAATTGTATGAAGACCCATGAATAGTGATTGAAATAAAAAGAACAGACTAGGTTGGACAGGTCACCTTGAAAGAATGTCAGACAACAGAGGAGCGAAAATCGTATACAGACAAAAACCAAAAGGCAGCCGACCCAAAGGCAGACACCGAATGCGATGGATTGATGATGTGGAAGCAGATCTGAAGCAGCTAGGGGTTAGGGCGTGGAGACAAAAGGCCCAAGAGAGATCTGAATGGAAGGATGTGTTGAAGCAGGCCAGAGCCCTCCATTGGCTGTAGCACCACTGGGATGGATGGATGGATTGTCCACAAGGATAAATTTCACTAGTCCCACAACTCTGTAACATATGTTGTCTCATTCTGTTGTCTGTTTCTGAGGCAAAAAATTGCTTGTTGGTCATGTGGGGCTAGCTTATAAAAGGTGTCACCTTTTTCTTGTCATTTGGGTGAGATCTTGTCCAATTTGGGTTTATTCTTCTTTCTATTGTTTTCAGTTAGGAGTTTTTGATTGCTTAATTCAATTTCCCATATTTGGCCAGTATTTTAGCTTTTTCATATCCATCTATTTGAATGTGTGCTGGCCTTTTCAGTATAACTATTTGCTGTAATTACTGTCTTTTACCGTATGACTAATGACTAACCTCTGTTACTATGTTATTATTAGCTTGACAACCGTCGATCCCATGACATGATTATAGAGACCAAACAGTTGATCCACAACATGGCCAGCAGACTGAAAGCTCCATACAGATTTATCGTCAACCATGAAAGCATGATAGCCAAACCAAAAAGTTCTATTTATCCAGTAAGTCAAATGGGATTTGAAATACTCTTGAATAATAAACTGACTTTGACCTAACATATCAAACAAATATGAAAAGCTAAAAATATCTATTGTATTTATCAGGTCTTCCAATCTGTATTTTATTTTATTCATTGGGTGGCCATTTATAAAAAAAAAAAATGATTACTTATTTATTTAATTTGAGAAAAAACTCAGGTAGTGGTAGTAAATATTGAAAAAAAAAAAATCATTATTTAAACAACTTTTGATTTAATAGTCTGCAGAAAAGTGTACAAAAGCTTCTAGTAACATTTACTTTAGAAAACAAAAAAAAGAAATGTCATTAAAGGAAAACTGCTATGGTTTTGACAATTTCTTTTATAATATGTGTTTTGATTTACAGATAATGAATGTATTATTTTTTTTTAAATTTGCAATAATAACTTAGTAATTGATGTTTATCTGATGTAATTTTCCTGCGCATCCAAAACAATCAGATTTTCACCGGGTTTCTTTGTGACGTCACACTAACTTGTTAATTTAATCTATTGACTTACTGTATAACGGAGACCATACAGTAAAGTTTACATTCTCGTAAAAGAAATCTATCTATGTCTATGCAGTTATATATAGATCTTGTAAGCAATGAAAGAAATGCGTGTTGAAAGTAGATTTACATGCATAATTAACCACGACAGTGTATATTTTTTTGCCTGACCACTCAACACACACAAACACTATCACTTGGTTGTCTTATCATGACCGACTACACATAGTCTAGACTAGCCTTACACTGACCAGTTTGTTAAATTTGAATCAGTCTTTACTCTTTTGGACAGGGAGGGGCTTAGATGAAAATGGTACTTTTTTTCTCGAGTTGGTTATCCTAATGCTTTTAGATCTATCTATCTATTTATATATATATAACTGTACCATAGCTCTAGACTAGGCCGTCACTAAGCCTAAAAGCTACTGTAAGAATGAAGCGATACGATTGGTTAAATCTAGTTTCTCTTTCAGTATCGTTTAAGGAAGTGAAGTTTGACTGAGCTAAAAACAAAATCTCAAAGAACCCCGTTTTTTTTTTTGTGATGTTTCTAGGCACTTAAATAAAAAATGGTAAAATGTTTACTATTTCAAATTTTTACGCAGAAATTAAATGTCAATAATTCAAATTTGAATAACCGTCATAGTTTCCCTGTAAGCTGATTACAATGTGGATGTTGTTTTGTACTTTATCCTTTACTTTCTATTTTATATTTATGTGAATTGAATGATATTCCAGATTTTGTACATGGCTCAACCAAACTTAATTTTTTCTGGCCACTGGCACTTGGTAAGTGCAAGTTTAAATGTTTGTTATTTAACTTGGTTCTGTATTATGTCCTGTTGAAGACTTAATGAATGTTAAGAAATTTCATATGACATTGTTCATTGTCATTAGATTTTCATTCTATCAGAAATTCATTAGAGCCAGATACCAGAAATCTAATCGTAATCATCTTCTTTTTTGAAGTAATGTCTGTATTTTATAGGATAAGATCAAATTTACAGAATTAGGATTAAACAAACAATTAAGTTGTTTAAAAAAATCTTTTTTTTTTTATAGTTACTTCTCTCTTCTAAAAACACTTTTAGTAATCACACATTGTTAGATAATGTGGGGATTATTTCAAGCAGATAGTGGACATTCTACAAAATATTTTGACTTCTCTAAAGATGACTAAAATTACATGTAGTTTACATCTAGTTTTATTGATTAGATATGTCTTTTGTGAATAACTGTTAACATTTCCCCATGGGAAGAAGACCTAATATCTTTGCACAATTTGCATATGGAAGTTAGCTAGCCCGATAATAGAATTAGGTCAAGAAAGCTTCATAGCTGAGTATCTTAGTAGCAAAGGAAACACTAGTTTTAGTCTATTTCCATTAAGCAATACAATTGAAATTGTCTTTTTTTTTTTTTTCATATCATTTGAATGGTTATTAACAAAAACAAAAAATATTTTTGTGCAAAGAGATTTCATTGTAGCCATAGTTGCCGGCAAATAAATCCCATATTTACCTTGTGTTAGCTGAGAACTTTAGTTTGTTTGCTGAGAAGTATAGTCCTATAGAAGAAAGTTTGCTGAATATTTATACAAGATTTCTGTATATTTGACTAAGGAAAAAACCTCGGAACATAGAGAAAATGGCAACTTCTGGCCCTTGTCATCACATTGCATAGGACATAACAATCATTTTTTTTTTTAGTGCAATATATAAGATAAATCTTGACATTTGTGTCTCCCCTAGTCTCAGATGTTTACTTGTGAGACCTGTCTGTCAGACAATGAAGACATGAACTACTGGCCCTTCCACCACAAAGACATCTCTAATGTGGCAGACTTTGTAGAGGTGGACTTGACCACTTTGATAGCGCTCTCAGAGATCATGGTGCCAACTTGCAGTTACAGGATGGGAGTACCGAACATGGGCTATGGAGTAGCTGTATTAAGTAAGTCTTTCAAATTATAAGTATATGTAAACTGCAAGGTTCAGAGGTCACTCTGTTTCTAACACAGTGGTTTCATGGTTAAAAAAAAAAAAAAAGGCTGCTCACAAAGATGTAAGAAACAAACAGAGCATGGATTCTCTAAGCATGAGATTTAGCATTTGGAAAACTGGATTTCAACATGATCTTGTGGAGCTCCTAACAGTGAGAAAGAATTGTTTGAGGGGATTAAGAGATTGGAGTGAAATGAATTCAAGCTGCAAGTCTGATTTCACTGCTTCACTATCCACATTAGAAGACATGTCTGAATCTTTTTCAATTGCACTGAAATCTTAAACTCTTCAACACTTGTTGTGAAGTTCACTCAAAGTTATCTTCAGAGTAAAGTCTTCCTATCACAAGATTCAGACTACTCTATTTGAGCTAGCTTATAGGCAAATAGAATAAGTTATTTGCAATAGTCAAGGTGGCCCCAGATATCATCAATACCCGGGGCAAATAGAATATCTTGTTTGAAATATTTAAGGTGGCCACATATGTCATGAATACCTGGTAAATCAAATTTTTCTTGTTTTTCAATATTTAATTTTATTCTGAGAGCAATGGCTGAATCCTCCAACTGTTTACTTGATGCAGACCAATTTTTGAAGCAAGGCACTATTTCATTTCTCAGCCATAAAACTTGCTCAGAGACAAATCTTCTTTTATGGTACATCACATCATTCAGATTGCATAGAATTAAAGGACTCTTGACATTGAATCCTTATCTTGTTCTAAATCCAATAGTATTGATGATTACATGAAGGACAATCTAATAGAATTTATACTAGAAGTGTCCTGCAGTATAGTAACAGTAAATAAGACTTAAGTTAGAAAAATAATTAAGAATAATCTCCAAATATGTCAGCCTCTAACAGATTATTAAATTATTAGGATATAAAATTTTGGAAGAATGCAAATTTGTCATATTTCAAAAAGCCTTGAATTTATTTTATAGTAATTCACTGTCTCAAGAATTTAAGTTTGTAGATTTTGGAGATTACTATTTCATTGTAAAATGTGACAAGAATTAACATGACATTTAATTTTGTCCCACAGATAAATCTGGCCACTTAAACTATACAGTTCTCTGGCTCCCATCACGCTACAAGCTACTTTACATCTACATTGGGGTCTTGGCCTTTGTGGCTGTCTTACTGATCATAGAATTTATATTTTGGCCCTTGTCTACAAAAGATCTGCACAGATGACATACAAAACACAGCTAATTGACTCCTGGATGAATTTCATTCGAATAAATTACTGGACCGAGACAAGTTCGTATGAAGTAACTGGACTGGAACAAGCTAATTCTATCATAAGTCTACTCAACATTATGACTTAGTAGCCATGCTATGCTATTCTATTCTATTGGCTTGTCAATGTAAATTTAACAGCAAAATCAATGTGACATGAAACTCAGATTCTTCACTGGGAAATCACTCCAGAGTTCTTTTTGTCTGAGTGTGTCATATTGAATTTTTTTAGTTTGGTGAGAGTTTAATCTGAGCCTCCACAATGAAAGGGAAAGTTGATTGCTAGGTACAAACTTGATCTTAGAGCTAGGTACACAAACTTGATCTTAGAGCTAGGCACACAAACTTGATCTTAGAGCTAGGTACAAACATGATCTTAGAGTACCAGCATACAAATATTCTACAAGCCATTTTGACACATTACTGAGACCTTTGCTGCCAAAATGAAGGTCCAAATCTCAAATCTAGATGAATGATTGATTTTTAAAATGTCCCATCTCTAAGGGGTGCATGGTGTTAGTTGTGAAAAATATTTAGGTCATTGTGCTGGTCACATGACACTGGTATTTACATATGTTGTTATAAGCAATAAGCATTTAAATAATTTATAAACCAAGTAACATATCCATTTTGTTTTTAATTTTAGAATCATTTTATAATGTTTATCCATGCTCTCCACAGACAGTCACAGTACTGGCATGTATGGATGTTTGGAAGTAAATAAAATATACCAACTTTTATCTTATGATTTGCTTCTGTTTGTTTTTTTTATTAAATTGCTTTTATTTCTTTTATTATTACTCTAGCAAAGTGACCTTATGACTTCTGATTCAAAGTCAACATAAGAACCAAATAAACTAATCCTAATGTATATAAATATATGTATCATTTATTGATGTATAGAGTGCCTGAAAGGGTAGCACCTCTAGTGGCACTCTTAATAAGAGAGACCAGAAGAAATGGAAAGTTTTGTATTAGTCAAACTAAATACCACAATCATTCTTTCCATGTGTGTGGTCATGTTGACTTTAGTGACCACTGGCTCTTTGAAACATCTCAGGTACTTGTAGTTTGAGATGATATTCAATTATTTAGATTTCATGAAGCTTACAAATCTGAATGTCATCTGTATTTATCTTGAATGAGACCACATCGAGCTATTAGGGATACACTTCACATAGAGATTTTTCAATATGTCCCACTGGTTTTAAATTGGGGTTCCACAAAAAAAAGAAAACGGGTGACTAATTTGTGCATGGTAATTTTTAAGGATAGAAACAAATTGTTTGGTCCTACACCTTTAGGGACCCTGAAGAACCTTTTAATGCATCAGATGTAAGAAGAAAACTAAAGAACTGTTGTGTGGGCGACAGTTCCAACCATAGATAATGCCCAGGATTTCATCTCATTTCTATGATCCATACTGGTAGTCAACTGTGACTAAAGGACAGACACAGACGGCAAAAAGAAAATCTTGACCACTGGCGGACAATGTTTATGCCTGCCCTGTAGGTCCCAGCTGGGGCTGCATATCCACGGGAACTACTGCATGTCTCATTAATATTTGGACTCGAAGACAAGCTATATTACAGTTATTTACCATCACACTTTTGTATGGGTCTGAGACCTAAGTGCTATAAAGGAGACATCGAAGGCTCCTCAAACACTTCCATCAAAGGTGCCAAATGTTCTGCTGGAGGCAGGTGTGGACAGGGTAGAAATACATACGATTAGAACTACCACTTACAAATCAACATCCCATATAGGGGATGACTTCATAAAGTCTTGTTTGGCAAGCAACTTTAAAGGACAATGTAACAGTTTGCACCCGGAACCGCTATAAAGATTAACTTAGGTGCTATTTTGCCTTTACTGTAACAGAGGAAAGTAGAAGAGCCTTGAATGGAAGGTCTCAAGAAGGGCTGAGAAAAGCCCTTGTTGAAGACAGTAGGCGAAAAGAAAACTTAAATGGACCCTCAACGGCTGTCTACGTCAGATGTGGCAAAACTAGGCCCATCACAACTGGGTTTACATTGTCCCATGAACTACTGCACCCCTACTTAATCTAAGACAATGCCTTATAATGTTTAATTTCCTGGAATAAATTTATTTCATTAATATAACTTCAAATTATATCCATTTTGATCTTCTTGCCAGCTTTTTTGCTGATGAGCTGTCAGTTCTTTTGTACACGGTGCAAAGAAAAATAGTGCGCTGTTTTCTTCAGCACTGCCGTACAGGGTGTTGTGTTGGTTATGTTGGGCTGTAGTGGTAGTACTCCATTTTTGAAAATATGATGATCTCATTCAAGAAATTCAGCATTAAGTCTCATTCAAGAAATTCAGCATTAAAACTACAAACAAACAGTTCAAAACTGATCAACAGAAGAATCTACAAATAATCCAGAACTAGCGTACTACTACTTCATTTTCTCCTCACATACCAAGGCAAGCCCTAGAAAGTTAAAAAAAATGTTTCCCTTTCATATAAGGCAGATGATAAGTAATTTGTTTCTTTGGCCAATGGTTCACAAGCAGGGCATCATGTTGCCAGCACAGATCGATCATCTTTACTTTATCCAAATATAGTAAGGTACCCAGAGCTGGGTGGACTTGGAGGAACCCTAAAAATCCAGAAATTCAAAATTCCAATATTTACTGAGATTTGAACCCAGGTTCAGAAGCCAAGCGCTTAACCACTCAGCCACAGCACCCCCAAGGCAAGTACTTGTGACTAAAAATAAGTCCACAAATTTGAAAAATGTTTTGAATGAAGCTGATACAACTTAATAAAAATCAAAACCATTCCAATCCAGATTATTGAACATGTGTACAATGTAGTAGGTAGTCAATGAAAAGTACAAATACAATAAAGACTGAATTCAAGGGAATCAGTTAAATTTTGCATAATAGCAAAAATGAGTAGGCCCTAGAGAAAATTTAATTGATGACATATTTGAAACAAAAATATGAGAATGAGCCTATGGATAAGTTGGTCAATAGAGCACATTATTATCAATGCAGCCTTTGCTTCCATTTATGCAATGCAGGAACTTTTTCAGATGTTCCAATAAAGTCAGATTGCGAAAAGATTGAAATCAAGATATCCATACTATGCAAAGATAGTCATCAAATAGTGTCAAATTATTATGCTTAAGTATTATAATATCCAACCTTCAATGTAAGAAGAGACTCCTTTGAATTTAACATAAGTGATAATAAGACAAGATATTTATTTATATGTAAAATGAGTATTTTTAGTAATTGAATGCACACCAGATTTGTTCCACAAGATGCAAATACACTGATTTGAAATGTATTCTATAAATCAACAGTAAATTATCTAGACACATCCAGTCTCTCACGACTAGAGCTTATTAAATCTACTGAAGTTTAAATGTCTATTTACCAGTTCCGGTGCATCAATTGGTACACACCAAGTGCTGTTTTTCCTCATAGTACTAACCACCTATCACAATGTAAAATAGAGTCAAATTTTAATTCCTATCTCCTTCACCATTTGTCCATGTTGACTGAATTGTTTTTGCATTTTCTACCCTGTTATGATTTAATGTTAATAACATTTTTGTCATCAGAAAAAGTTACTTTTGGTATAGAATGCATGCTCTTTTTATGTGACAAATTACTGTTTATAAAACCAAAGATTAATTTAATTAGGAGAGAAAGAGTTAATCTGCTAAATGATTCTCTTTGCAAATGGCAACAAAAAATCTGCTTATGTTCTTTACTTCCTTCAACTGACATATTTTCATTTGACTTAAAATACCTAAGAGCTAAAGATCAGGCTTGCTCTTCATTTAAACAAGTAACTCCAGCCACCTTGACATGTTAACTAGATTTTCATGTAGTTTAGGTTGGTAAAATTAGAATCATTTAGTTATGTGATTTTAAACTACAATGGGTGTCTTCCATGGCACACTTCATATTGTTCTCTGAATTGTTTTCTTCTAAGACATTAAAATATTTTCATTCAATAACAAACAATCCCCATAAAAAAAAAAAAGACATACATGTACTGTATGTATATATTTCTTTGAAGCTTTATTCTAGTCCATTAATAAAAACTGGTCACATGATTGTGAAATGACAAGAAGATCTAAGAATACATTAACTTGATGGAATCTGTGACACTCAAGTCACTGGTATGTTAGGATGGAAATTTAAATAACAGGTCACATGATATACATCTACAGCATTTGGGGGAGGGATATGGAGTACTACATACAAAACCGTCTCTAATACTGTTGTCTTAACTAGAGACAGCTGCAGCTAAATGACTACAATGAATTGATAGAAAATGGAGAGTATCCAAATATCTACTATCAAATAGAATATCTGTAACACATGGGGATACAGCACTCCAAAAAAAAAATGAAGTAAAATAAAAAAAAATTAATAAAGTTTAAAAAAATGAATTCATGGATGAAAGATAAACATTTACATATATCTGAATGACACAAACTAATTACACGATGACGTGAGGTGAAAGTTCAGTTAGTAATTACACCATCTAAAACAACACAACGTCACACAAGTTATTCATATATAAAATGGTCCAGATGAAGTGTTTAAAAATCTACATACACTTAATGGCAGAATGATCATTTAAATGCAAGACAATAACAACATCTAAATCAAATGAGCTGGAACATCTGAGCGGTTATGCTGCCTTCTGAGAGCCTTTCTTGCCAATCAGTGACTTGTGAATGTGTGGGATGACACCTAAAACAGACAATTTACACATTTAAGAACTGAACTGAGACTTGTGTCAACAAGAAATTAGACGAGAAAGATGCCTACAAGTAATAAATACAGCTCTCAACTTTTCTGTTGTGAAGTTAAGAAAACAAACTATGCTCTTAATTTTTAAAGTTATTTTCTCTATGCATTTGTGAATTAGTAATTCAATATAGTAGGGCAATATGTCTCTGTCAATCTGCTATACAAATACACTAAACATGTAAATATGTTCACTATACATGTAAATATGTTCATGTCTGTCAATCTGCTATACAAATACACTAGACATGTAAATATGTTCATATGTTCTGAGGTAAGACTGGCCTTAAGAATAACCAAATTTCTAGAAAAAAATAACTTACCACCACCGGCAATGGTTGCTTTAATTAGAGAATCCAGTTCCTCGTCTCCTCTGATGGCAAGCTGCAAGTGACGTGGAGTGATACGTTTGACTTTCAAATCTTTACTGGCATTACCAGCTAACTCAAGCACCTGAATAGGAAACAGTAAAAATAATTTTTTTTTAATGTTATAAGCTTAATGTTACTAGTTCAAGATATGTGCCAATTTTAGACATTTACACAGCAAAGGTGAAAGTATGACACCACAAATGTCAGGATATAATTACATAATAACATTAAAGTTGTTACTCTTCTAGGGTTGGAAGAAAAAAATAAAAGGGGGGGGGGGGGAAGAGAAAATTGATATTAAAAAATTGACTTAATGAGTGCATCCCAAAAACTAAAGTCTCCTTTTTATTTTTAGGACAACGACAGACCTAAGTTTAAGTAAGGAAGAGAAATAAAACTAGTGTTCAATACTGGTTTGGAAGATGGTCCAAGAGAGCCATGTTCATTTTTGCAAGAGAGCCATGTTCATTTTCAGAGGCAAGACAAACTAAGTAGTAAATCTTCAGTTATTTGAAGAAGCCTGCAGGTTCATGTTTTTGTGAGTGGGAAATGAAAAACTTTTTAAAGTGCACTTGATGACTCCAACCAATCAATGCAGAATGTCTATGTTTCCAAATTTAACCAGCCAAACACAATATTGTATAACCAGCCTAACACAATATTGTATAACCAGCCTAACACAATATTGTATAACCAGCCTAACACAATATTGTATAACCAGCCAAACACAGAATATTGTAAAGGAAGCACAGAATGCAAGAGGATGCTTATCTTATCTTATATAATACAGACGTTACTTTGAAAAAGAAGATGATTACGTCCTACGCGTCATGCATATTAACCAATGACTTAAATTCTGCCAAGTCACTGGTTTTTCTGGCTAGCTCAGGCAACCCATTCCGTGCTCTAATAGCACTATGGAAGAAGGAGTATTTGTACAAATTTGTCCTAGCATATGGGACGAGGAATGTGTATTTATTTTTGTGTCTCTCAGAGTATTTTATTAAATTTTGTCTTTGTATTTGAAGATTATGGTTCAGTGTTTTATGTATAATTGCTACTTTTACTTTTGTGTCTTCTGTCCTGAAGGCTTTCTAAATTTAGTGATTTTACTAATGGTGTTACTCTAGTCAAATGTGAATATTCGTTTGTTATGAATCTCACTGCTCTATTTTGTGTTTGTTCCAATTTTATTTATGTTTTCTTGAGTTGAGGGGTCCCAAACAGTGGATGCATATTCTATTATTAGCCTAATCAAGGTTAAATAACATTTTAGTTTTATGTTCTTATTTGATTTATAGAAATTTCTTTTAATAAACTCTAATGCTTTGTTGATTCAAATATACTTGTATTGGTAATGCATTGGCAAATTTTTAATTAGTTAAGATCCTTCTGAATTGACTTGTCTCTAGGTTTCAGCCAAGTTAATTTAGAATCCCCAAATAGGTTTGGTTTAGTTCCATTAAAATGCTAAAATTAAGAAGAATTAAGACTGTCAGCCATAAATTACTTTTATTAAAGGAAATGATAATTCAATTCACCAGCATCACAGATAACTAGGACCTGATTTGGATGCTTTAATTATAGATCTAGTGTAATAGTGTCCAGATGTTTTTACATTAATTAGAATATGCAGATGCAAGATATTATGCATCATTGCCAGCCAGATAATGCACATTTATTATAATATTCATGCACAGAATATCTTTTCTTTTAAAATACAGGCCTCACTTCAGAAAAGAAGATTACATCCTATGTCAATCTAGTCATGCATGTAATTCAGTGACTCAAATGCTACCAAGTTTTTGGTTTTCTTGGCTGACTCGGGCAACCCATTCCATGCTCTAATAGCCTTAAGGAAGAAGGAGTATTTATACAAATTTGTACTATCATACGGAACAAGGAATGTGCCTTTATGATTATTTTATTAAATTTTATTTTTGTATTTGAAGATAATGGTCAGGGGCGTAGCTAGGAATGGGGGGGGGGGGGCCTTAACCTCTTTAGGGGCCCATGCATTTTGCGTAATATCTTATATTTAATGTAAAAAACTCATTTGAGGGCCCCCTTAAACTTACGTGGGGGCCCGGGGGGGATTTTCAAATGCTCCCCCCTCCTCCCCAGCTACGCCACTGATTATGGTTCCGTGTTTTATGTATAATTGCTACTTTTTAGTCTTCTTTCCTGAAAAGTCTCTAAATTTAACAATTTTGCTAAAGGTGTTAATAAATCTCACTGCTCTATTTTGTATTTGTTCTAGTTTATGTTTAAATATTGAGGGATCCCAAACAGAGGATGCATATTCTAATATTGGCCTACCTAAAGTTAAATAGCATTTTAATTTTGCTTGATTGTTTGGGGAGTTTTAATTTATTATTAAACCTAGATATTTTGAGTTTTAAGTCTGACTGATTCTTGGTGGAAAGACTAGCATTCTTATATACATACAATTTCTTAATCATTTAAACAAATAGTTCTAGATCTAAAAGTTTATGCATAATTACAAATTTTCATAGTAATCAAAGTAGTTTATAAAATAAGAGCCTCTTTGCTCTTTTATTTTAGGTATAGCAGCTAGCCAAGCCTACTCTACTCTTTTCAGAGTGCAAAATGATTAGCCTCATTATGTCAATTCACATAATCTTGTCAGAAAACCCTCGTCAATTTTTCCCGCCTTTTCAGATCAGAAACCTGTGCACTTGTAACTAAACTTGGGTCTAATTAATCAAAGAATACAAATCATCTAGTAGACTACAATCTTGCAAAATTTATTGTGTTGTTAATGACACAAAAATAAATTGTTTTAGATGTAGATCTTTCAATATTTCATTTATAATACTTTTAGACAAGGCTAGAAGAACAAATAAGAGTTCCTAATAATTATGAAAGTGACGAAACACCAAAGTCTTTAATTCCGGAAGTGAGTTTGTTTTGATTTTACTCAAGCCCTGAAATGTAAAAGCTAAGCATTTCTTGATCTATTATAGATCGGAATGACTATTATAAATATGCACCGTAATCTACATTACCTAATCAAATCTAATTTCTCGTACCTCAGCAGTTAAATATTCCAGAATGGCAGCGCTGTACACTGCAGCTGTGGCACCTACTCGTCCATGACTGGTGGTTCGCGTCTTCAAATGACGATGGATACGACCGACAGGAAACTGAAAATCGTAACATTTTTAAAATATTGCTAAAATAATGCACACAAATAAATAACAAAAAAAATCTTTAAAAACCAATACTTATTAAAATTTAAACAAATAAAATTAAGTACCTGAAGCCCTGCGCGCGCAGAACGAGACACTGCCTTAGCTTTCGCTTTTCCAGAATCCTTTCCAGCTTTTCCTCCGGGCTGAAAAGAAAGAACATAACAATATCAAGAAAATATCGTTAGAATCACTCCAAGAATGCAGAAAAATATCAAATAATCCCACAGAATAATTCCTAGAGCTGGATGGTTTAACCAGTATACGATATTGATGGATTTTCGTACCATTTTGTTATAGATTCTGTCGACACAACTTCTCAATGAAGGCAAAAGGAATCCCCTTACACTTTGCTAGCGTCGGTTTGAAGTACCATGTGACCTAATCGACCAATGAAATGGCAGTGAACTTTACAACGAGCTCGTTTTACGCGCTTTATTTTCTGTTCAATGAGAGTTAATTTAAAGACTAGCCTAAATGCAAGCCCATTTATTCACTGATTTTTTTTTCAAAACCAATTTCAGTCACAAAGCCCATACAACAATGAAAACCCATTTTGAAAAATAACATTTTTTCATTAATAAAACCTCAGTATAAAATGTTGATCTAAAAATGTTCAAAAATTATGTTCTTACCAAGGGACTTAACCCCTGCTATTTTTTTTTCATTGTACACTACAGTATTGTCAACATTTGAAGACACAAAATAATGCAGGCCTACATTGCATAATAGATTTAGATATAGGCAAAATTGTAAAATGATAGGAGACGCCTTATTATTTAAATACATTCGACCAAAGCAACTATATGTCTGTTTCTCTTACAATTTAATAATTAAAATTCAAACCAATCTTATCTTATATAATACAGACGTTACTTTAAACAGGAGATGATTACATCCTACGCGTAATGCATTCAGTCATGCACATTAACCAATGACTTAAATTCTGCCACTGGTTTTCCATGGTCTAAATGCATAGC